ACAGAGTGAGAAGGTGCTAACAGATGGGAGTTGACAACTAACTGCACTCCTGCAGCTGATAACCAAGTTCTTTTTAAAGGGAGATCTCCATGGCTGCCAATTATGACATCTGAAGGTAATTTTGCAACTTGGGAGAGATAGTAAAAGCACAGGAAGCCAATTTAAGAAAATACTATAAAGGAGGCCTGACTTAAGTGCAGGACTGTTTATGTTGTATTGTGATGCTTCAGAGAACAGCCTTCCCCAAGGTGCCTAGAAGACAAGAGACTCCAGAGACTCTTTCCCTTGGGGAATCCAAAGGGGATTAACATGGCATTTACAAGATGCTTGAGTTAGTAAACAGGACACCATGGTCAGGAGTGTCTGACCTCATCCTCCACAAGCTCAGTAGGGGCAGACCTGATGCTGACTGGCAACTTTAAAGAGCCACAGAAAACAAGAGGGGCTCAGGGCTTGCTCAGAGGTAGAGCACTTGCCTAGCATGCACAAGGCCCATGCTTAAGGACCTGAGTTCAATCCTCAGCACTCCCCCTCCCCCCAAAGAATAAAAGCCCAGTGGAGATGAAACAGAGTTTGGGGGAGGAGAATACAAGTCCCTGTGGTTAGCCAGTGATGTCTCCACATACTGATTTTCACATTCATTCCCCTTCTTCATTTATGCACATCTGCAAAGACAGCAGAGTCACACACAACAAAAAACATTTACATGAACCAGATTCACAGCAACTCTGGCACAAGCTTGTATGTCTACACTCTGCTATTTCAACAAAAATTTGTACACCCAGAACCAAGTTTCTGATCATCTCCCTGTGTAGATAAATTCATAGACCAGAGGCTGTAACATCCACAGCTTTAAATCCCCAAACAATTACAGGAACAAAAATAGACAATCTAATGAGATAATCAAGAATTTAGTGACTATGGTCATTTAAAATCAAGAATCTGTAGGCTGTGTCTGGAACAGCCAGACATTCCTGGAAAGATTTCCCTTGGTTTGAATCCCCAGCTTTGCCACTTTCTACTTTTGAGATGCTGGGCAAATTAGCCAATCTCTCTGTACTTCTGTTTCTTCATTTATAAGATGGGAACAAAAATAATACTCGCAAAATAGATTGCTGTAAGAATATGTGAGTTAATATTTGTAAAGCACCAAGAATTGGCTGATACATAGTAAGAGCAAAGTAATTCCCTCTCATCATCCACCCTTCACCCCATCTCTCTACACCATGCCCCATGCAGTTGCTAACTATAAGGTTCACCAGGCAGGATCAGTCCTCACCAGGATTTTTAAGTCCTTCCTTCCCCTCCTGTTATGATTTTTGTAAATAAGATTTGATTGAGAGGGCTGATAGGTTGTGGCAGGGTTATGGGACCAGACAGCTAATCTCATGATGAGGCTGCCAGTCTGGGGCTGCCTTTGGATCTGTCCTGGTTCACCACTGCTGTCTGAGCTGGGGATAGGACTTTTCCCAGGTCAAGGGCAGGGGGTGCTGCAAGGTTCAGCCTAGTATCTTTTTGTGGGTTTGTAGAGAAATGGGAAGACAGATGCGTCTCCATATATATATATTTCAAGGTCCATAGCTCTGCCATGCCCCCTCCTGTCTGTAATTCTTCCCAAAGAAAATGTCATTATTCCTTCAAAGGGAAATATGTATATATACATACACACAAACACACACACACACGCAACTGTTGTCTCCTTTCTCCTACTTCGACTCAGCGCAAAGCTTAGTGCTTTCATAGCATGATAGTTGATTTCCCCTCGGGTCCATTCGGCTTTCAGCGGGTTCCCAGGTGAACTGAAATGCAGAGCTGTTCTCATCTGGTTGC